GCCACGTCATCAAAGTTTTTGATCAAACCCGTCATGTCAACCATCTAAAGCAATGGCCCGCCAACAAGATGCATTTCTCTATGATTGTGGAACCGATAAGATAGAACGGGAGGTGCCGGGCCTGGTTCCTGTGCTGACAGGCTTATGGGCCCGATTTGACACGCGGTTTTTAAACTTGAAGGCGCGGCGATCCGTACTCCCGCGACATAAAAAACCTACCTACTTCCTCCCATAAATGGGGCCTTCCACAGTCGAGAGGCATTTTTTTAAAGCCCGTTTGCATTCATAACTGAACTAATATTTACTATCACTACAAGAGAAGCAGAAATTATTGTTGTTGGCGCAAATATTAGCGTCTAATTAGCGGTCGATAATTGGCGAAAAAAATTTTATTTTGGAGTTTCTACGGATTATGCGTCGAATTTGTGTCGAAAGACTCGACATAAATACTTTACTTGTTAGCTTCAAAATAATCAATGCAATTTCGATACAAATCTGATGAAAATGACCTTATTTACGCATCCACTTGCCTAAATTTCATTTTCTCTCCACTCTCGATTTCTTCCTCTGCTCGAAAGCAGCGTCTTTCCCTCTCCCTTACGACTTCGCTCAAATCCATTGCCTTCCTGAACGAACTATCGCAATACAATCGCTATTATAGCTAGCTCAAAAGGTGCGAAGTTCGCGTGCAGAGACCACCAAAACTTCCATAGTTCTCATCATTCCGCTCCACTCCTGAATCTGAATTCTAGTTAACGATATATATATATATATATATATATATAGATTTCTTTCTTTTTTTTTCTAAAATTTTTTTCCGGCCTTGATAAATATTCTATATCCCCGCACCTAATCAAGTCATGGCTCATTTTAGCTAAATAGAGCCCAACAACTATAAAAATCTATCAAAATCCAACCACTGAAGCATAATTATCTCATATTTTCCTTAGTGTTATCAGATGGTAAATTTATCATGCTAATTGAATTCAGGTCACCCCAAACGCTTGTTATTGTACGAAAAAGAAGGACGATGATACTGTTACAATCAGAGCAATCCAAAGAGAACATTTTAAAAAGAAATCAGCCATATAAACTTCATGCTTTTGTATGAAGCATCAGAAATAAGCAGCTAAGTTCTTATGAAATTTTAAAATTAAGTATGGTACAGTTACAGATCATGTGCTGGTAAGAACAGTAAACTGCAACCATCAGCTTTTGTCAGTGACATGTGAAATTCAGCATTACTAAGCTCAGAGCAGCTTATTTCCACATTTCATGCTGCATGTAAGTGATTGAGAGAAGGTAAATTTGTTGAACTGATTCTTGTATGCATCATATCCTTTGTTTTATTTGACATCTCCTGCAGGACATAATAAAGCATGAATGGGCAAATCAAAATAACCAAATGGGTTGGACAGGATAGTATTTCTTTCAGGATTTGATATACCAGTGATGACGGAGAAGATCCCATTTTATTAAAAGAAGAGAGTAAAGAACATGAGGTCTTGTCATTGCTCATCAGACTCCCAGGTGAAATTTGTACACACACACATATATATATATATATATATATATATAATATATAATATATATATATATGTGTGTGTGTGAATTTTATTGTATTTTAGTTGCATCAATATAACCAATACAACAGAAAAATACAACGAAATCTGGGTGAGAGTTTTGAGCAGGAAAGTTCAACATTAATAGTGATTAACAAATGCGTTCAATGCTAATTACAATTATACACAGTAAATTTAAGGCTTGGGGCCACTAAATGAATCTGATTTGTGTCGAGTTATGGGGAAAATAATATGTCTGGTTAATCGGAATTACGTTCAATGATGTGGTAAAATCTATGCCGTCGTCGCCGATACATCCTTGGTCCAGACTTACTATTTTTGTCCACGTAGTGATTGATATAAGCTTGGACATATACATATTATTGCATGCATGACAACTTGACAGATTCGTCTAATGAACCATCACTATAAATTTCAGTGCTTTACTTAGTTTTTGCTGCGATGAAATGAAAGCCACTCCTTTCCCCTTTCTGTATTTTGATAAAACGAATAGACTTGTCCACACCTTTTATGCGAAAAAGAAGTATATGCAGTCCTTCAGGAATAAGTATAAAGAGCAAATCAAAAAAATGCAAAAACTACTGAAGAAAAGCAGTATAGTCATGTCATTGTTCCAGCAGTATATGGGATTCTCGAACTTGGAGATATAGGAAGAAGCTGTGAAAGTATGAGTGACATACAATATAAAGAAGGGCGGAAATGCATACATTTTGATAAGGATTAAAATCATCAATTGATAAATGCAGGCCTTAGTGGAGTAAAGAAGAGTCCTCTCCCTCAGAAGTTATCATCAATGTTTGTTAGAACTCAAAAGAATCATCATTTAGCAACACACAAGAACTATAAGAAAGCAAAAATTATATCCGACCATTTAAAAAATTTTAAGAGCATTTAGATACATAGCACACAAAACAATCAAATTTGAATATTTCACTCCTAATTTCATTATTTACTTCTATGGCTTAAAGCGTCAAAATTTAAACAAAAAAACATATGCACCTAATTTCCATCACCTACCCTAACTTTCTATCATAGCTCGCCATCCTGACTTGTCTCCTTCATAATAGGCCACATCAAGGTCATGGGTGGGTTACTCGACACATTAGCAAGGCCAATGCTCATCTGGTCGTTCACCACGTCTATGACTTTTTTGTGATGAATATTTTATTGTCTTAATGATGTCATAATTGAGCGATATTTGACTCATTGGATTCTTCTCATTGATACGCTCGATTTGACTATAAGCATGTCATATTTAGAATTTATTTGACCTTTCAATTATATTTGAAAAGCCCCCAAATGTGATTTAATGGCTTGATTGGGGTTTGGTTTGACTCTGATCAGACCAAATTTTGGCATCGTTAGATCCATATCGTTGAGTTGTTAGTTTGATTGTAGGTTTTCTGGAATCGGAGTTATCGATGACTTTTAGCCTATGTTTGAACATTTCTTGCTCAAAAATTACCTCAAGATCCATGTCATACCTCGATATTCATGTCGGATCATGGAAATTTTTTTGATGGAGTTGCACACTAGAAACATAGCTAGCTGCTTACAAAATCAGCACCCTTCTTTCATCCAATTTTCAAATTCTCACTCAATTATTAAAACTCACCTCAATTCATATTTCCATTTTTGTCAAATTATCAATTGTTTAATCGTGACAGACATAAATGCATTGATTCAGTAGTTTGAAAATCACCGAGGTGTAAATTGTATCTTGATAGAAAACATTTAATAGCCTAACCAGGCAATATAAAATATTTTTAGTGGTACATTTTTACAAAATGAGAAAAAAAAAAAAAAAAAAACTAGCACAAATTATTAGATATTTGATATACAATACAATCATGAAATTATTTTAATTTAGAGGTGGCCTTGAAATGCAATTAAAGGTAGAGCAGCGAAGGTACGTAGTCGAGCTAAGCTTGAGCCTCTTCAAACTCAAGCTTGTTTGTTATTAACCTGTTCAAGCTCAGCTCGAGCTCAATTCGAGTTTTTGAGCACTATTCAGCCTTGGTTGATTTAAATTATTTATTTATATATAATATCTAAATTTTAATAATTATTTATGTGATATTGTTTGTGTGATGTCAAAAGTTTTAGTGTTACACAAAAATATATTACAATTTAGGGAAATTTACTTACCTAGCACTTAATTCTTAAATAGTTACATGTCTCAGACATGAACTTTCATATTTACATACATAGCAATATAATGTTTTAAACCTATGCATGAAAAATGTGGATTTTATTTTTAAAGTGTGATAATAGTGTTATTTTTTATGTAGTATTAATGATTTGAATGTTATGTGTGTAAATATGAAAGTTTTAAGTGCCAGATATGTAAATACATCATGTAAATTCTCCTAAATTTTAATTATGATGAGAAGCTAGAAGTCTCCGTGGAATTGAAATGAAATTAACATTAAATTAATTTTAGGCAGTAATCATTTTTTACCTTTATTATGCACACCCCACAATTCTTATGCATTTACATAACTAAATATCACTCAAATGTTTAATATTACATCAAAAATCCTATTATTATTAAATTATAAAAAGTAAAATATATCTTTTCATGCCTAAGTTATTACACCAAATATTATAAATATAAATATCAAATTTTAAGCGTTACATAGGTAAATACACAAGAAATATTTGATTTTTATGTAAATTTTCCTTGTTATTATTAGGAGTTACATACATCCAAATCTTAATTATTTACCAAAGCAATATTTCTATGATTTTTTAACTATCAAATTCCCATATTATTATTATTATTATTATATGATAATCCAACCATCCTTTTTTTTATTTAATATAAAACGCTTGTTTCATTATAAATAAGAAAATTTTAACATAAGTATTTTTAGTTGGTCAGTGACCATTCATTCAAATAAGAGCATTAAATCATAAAACCATCAAACAACAACTTTCATTATGATACAAGGCATATAGAGCCGTTCATACAAGCTTGCATAATCTCAATCATTTTAAGCATAGTAGTTGATGTGCTTATACTTAGCCTCCATGGTAGGAGCCATAGCCTACACCCATAGAGCAACTAAGAGTCATACTTTCTATATGATTTCCTTGAAGCTTATTCATTCCCAAATAAGTATGGTTCAAGTCGCTCATCAAAATCAACATAAAGCCAAAGCTCTCGCTGACGGTGTTAGCCAACTAAATTAAAATTTTATTTGGTTGACCCATTTCAAATTAGACTCTATGAATATTAGTCAATTGACAACTTGTGTGACATAATTTATCTAATTCCAGATCATACCAGTAAAACATAATCGAACGAAAATAAAATCACTGTTTAGCAAGCGAGAAAAAAGAACGTCTTAGATATTTTTTTTCGAAAGGCAAAATACACTTGCGGATTAGAAAGAAAAAAAAAACCCATAAAATTTGTACAAAACCAGAATCCTGTACACATATGGTTATTTGCATGACAAAAAAATAAAAATAAATAAAATACATGAAGCAGCCATGTCAGGCCGAATAAAAATAAAATAAAAACACACATTGCACACCCACTAACTATCATCAATCAAGCTTTCTTACCTTTGGTTCAATATCAAGTCAGAAAAAAAAATGCTGACTTGGTGTTAGTAAGTAATCATAATCAGCTGCTCTATGATTACATCTCTCCGGTTCAGCGTTTTAATTGAAGGAGATGGCCTCGCAGGCTACAGTGCTTGACCTGTTTGAAGGTTTACACTTCTGCTTTAACTATGAATTTGTATTGCAAGAAAATAGGGCAGACGGGTATTTTTCCTTACATGTAGTGCTGCTACTGTGGTTAGCAGATTTCTGGATTGATCTAACAAAGCTTGCTCTTTTGCAGCAACTTTGGCGAGTTCTGAAACCAAGGAGCTCGTGTCTTGCACCTATAGAGAAGAAAATTTTCAGAGAAAGGATACAGAAAAGAAAATATTTGATTAAAAAGATCTTTTACATAGACCACACAACTCTCACGTATTTACCTATCTAACACCTAAACATTCATATTTACATGCACACCACTCAAATTTTTAAAACCACATTCCATCATCACTATTTAGTACACTACACTATTACATGCGAGGCAGTTTGTGAATATTAAGAAGAACAGCCAGGAAACAATGTAAAAGAATTTTTTAAATTGAGCATGGAGCTTGTGCAAAGAAAAATAGTAAAGAAAGGAGAATGTAAAGTGGATATGATGGATGAAAAGCTAAGCAGTGACCTTTGACATTAAGGAGTGCATGGAAGCTCCCATCGCCTGCAACATGTTTACTGCCGACCCAACGGCATTTTTCACTTCTTGCAAATTAGCCTGTTAAGCACGTGATGATAACCGTAATCACAGATTATTGACTATTTAGCACACCTACATTTCTTTGTTATGATATTTTGAATGCATAATAAACTACTATGGCCCATTAGGGAGATACGCACCCTTGCTCCACTGACAACTGGAAGGCGGAGAGTGCTAGCCTTTAATGATTCGATTGCACCTGCTAATGAACTTGAATGCTCTCTGTCCAGAAGAGATGTTTCCTCCAGATAGACCATCTACATAATTCAAATAATAAGTTAATTTTTTTTCTATCAGAAGGATCCAAAAAATAAAAAAGGAAAAATCTTAATCCAAGTGGTTAATCAAACATGTTGCTCTCCAATGGAATCAATGCTAGAAAGCTCAGCAAGAATCTTGACTAATCTCTATAAAATTACCAGTTAATTCTGAATCAGTCCCGCTAGTCCACTCAAGAAAGCCAAAATTCGTGCCTCCACTATCTATGTATGGTGGTTTCAGAATAAGACGTCTTTTTGAATTGACTAAATTAAAGCAACTCAAGTTCAGTGTTTTCACCCTTCGATCGAGCCTAACAGACACACCGCTAATCTCAAAGCACAACCAAAAACAGATGGTTCAACTTTAATCATCACCAAATCCAATTTCAAAGCCATCTAAATAACCAATTTAGATCTTTAATAACACTACTATAGGCTCAAGGCCTTCATATATGTCTGATACCCAACGGGTAAGATGATCCAACTCCAATCAAAGAAGTAATGCTTCATCCTCAATCCTCTAATCAATCGTTTGACCAAAATACCATCCATCTACTAAGAGCTTTTCCATCCAACATATATCCAAAGAAAAAATATATCCTAGATCTATAATTTGCTGCACCGAATGTACCAAACTCCCTAAATAAAATCAACATTGCAGGCCACCGAAGGGGAAGTTTGATTGAAAACCACTTCATTTTGAAATATTTCCACCATTTGAAGAAAAGGCGAGTCATTCCCAACTTTATATATATATATATTATTAAATTATATATATATATATATATATTATTTACATATATATTATAGAATGTTTATATATATAAGTTGATTGATAGAGTTCAATCTTTACAGTTCAAGCTAAAAACATTAAAATAGTCATGCAAGTAAATTGAAAAATGGTACTGATATTAATATACCATAATTAATATAGGTAAAATGACGTTCCTATTATAAATATTTATATGAAAAAATATAAGTATGAAAATGATATAATATGACAATGAATGTTATGAACCTTCTTGAATGATTATAATTGAATAATAAATTGTTAATTAATAATTTATTATCAATTTAATTAATTTGACTAGCATACTTATTAATTTTTAGAAAAATTTATATGACTAGCAGATAATTCTTATGTATTTACATATCTCTCATCTAATCTAGCATATTTACCTTCATAGCACTTATTGCTTTAAACCTACAACAACAACAACAAGTTTTTATCCTACTAAGTGGGGTCGGTTACATGAATCATTTTCCTCCATTGTATCCTATTGAATGTCACGTTTTCATTTAATTCTAATAAATTAAGATTATTTTTTATAAAAAAAATAAACACAATTCTTAAGTATTCACTTCAGTGTTTTAAACCTATACATGAAAATGTGTATTTCAATTTCGCGAAAATGTGCACTTCAATTACACGAAAAATGTGTATTTCACTTTTAAAAAGTGGTAATAGTGTTATTTTTTATGTGATATTAAAATTTTGAGTGCTATGAGTGTAAATATGAAGGTATAGGTGTCAGATATGTAAATAGATTAGAATTGTGTGCCATGTATGTAAACGCGCCTAGTTTTTATTTCCATTATTTTACTATAATTTAGTTTTTATTTTGATTATTTTACGATAATTTAAAAACACAAGTATAATTGTTGATAATTAATGAGATTTTAAATTAATATTTTTAGTTTAAATCTTGAACTGAAAAATGAGTAAAATAAGAGTATATATTTATAAAAAATGTGGACATGAGAAAAAAAAAGCTAATTAGAGAGTCAGATGTTTTATTGTTGAATTGGTTTAATTTTTAATCATTAATGACACTTTCAATTTTTTTGGATAATTAATTATCAGTAATTAATTACTCCATCTGATCTTTTATTCCTATCTAGACCATTTCAAGCCACATAGCCGAGTTGTTATAACATCTTTGAAATAAAATTTTATTGGTAAAGGAGCTTTGTCGCAAAGGATTCGAAATGATCAAACTACCTAGAATTAAATTTGATTATAGTAAAAAGGGAGTATCATCATCTTCAAGAAAATATGATGTTGATCTTCTTGAAAAATGACTCTTCTTATTTACAGGTGTATACCAAAAAATAGTCTACATAGATCTCGAGAAAATATGACAGTCCATATCAAAAGCTAGCTAAGGCAGGCCAGCTTAGGAACTATTAGCCTAATGATACCCAGCCGACCGAACGAAGATCTGCCTAGGCTGAGTGAATGAAGATAGCCTCCAACAACTGGACCATGGTCTAGTACCCTCGACAATCTCACGAATGTCAACATGAGGCTCTCTCAATGACTTCCCTGCTAGTTCTACAGTAATTATCAGGGAACAAGCAAAGTCGATCGGCCACCCTATGACTAACCGACTACCATTCCCATACCCTACTAGCTTCCGATAGCGAAAAAACTTGCCAACCTAGAGTCTCATTTAATACGAAGAGGTGCCAAAATAAGTTATAAATATAAATAGATATAAGAAAAGACTATAATATCTTGTAAACCCTTCTCTAAAGTGGGGGCAAATATGTAATTTCCTACCTAATGACCATCTATCCTTTATAAATTGGCTATTTTATCTAGACCCATATTCTGTAGGGAGAACACTCTCCCCTCCTCTCTTGTAACCCATATTTTTCATATATAAAATAGGTTGCAGAGCCCAGGAATACCCTAGTTTGCCCCACGGGGCCAGTCCGTGTGTGCTATGTTACTTCTTTTTATTTCTCCCTCTAGCTTCCTGTCGCTTTATTTCTTACGCAAGTCTCACATAACAAATTTGGATTCAACAAGCTTATTGATTTGAATCACAACATGTCTAATGATACAAAATTTCCTTAATGATCCTTCTCAATATTGAATGTTAGTTCGTAAATTGATTTCGATACTATTACCTGGCTTGATATTTTACACTTTTTTAGAGTTGCATGGCACTACACACAAAACCTAAAAATAAGCCTTGAGAAGTTATTTTAGACCTCAAATATATTAATAAAAGATACTGCTAAAATTGAGCACCTAAATATCGACATCATTTTACACCTCGATTTGTTGGGGGTAATCTCATAATAAAAAACACAAGAAAAAAAATAAAAGTGGCAAAATTTAATGTTGAAGCTAAATAAAGAGATATGATTCATTTTGAGTGTAAAATGATGTCGATAAAAACTATTTGAGGAGAGTGGCTTTGGTGTCTCTAAGCCTTTGAAACTAGAGTGATAACGGTGTGCCATCCATTGTTAATATTCCTATTTTATATGAATGAATTAAAAATAAATAAATAAATAAATATATATATATATATA